AATATTTCTTCAACTTGCATTTGCTAACTTTATTATTGCCTTTTCTGTCCGACTAGTTGGGTGATACTAAAACAATTAGACCCTTCGCCCTCAAGGGCAACAGGGCCAATAGCCTATTTGGCTTCGCCTCATGGGCTATTGACCGTAATGATATACTGTGACCGTAGTGATATGCTCTGATAAAAAGATAAACTCGCTTTACGGACACCGACTATCTGCACACTGTATATTTCCATTTGTTACGATTGTGTGCTAGCTGAACCCGCTTGAAATCGAAAGCTTTCTAAAACTAACGTAAATTTATTAAATTAGTATATGCAGTTAAAACCCTTGAAAGCGAGGAAATACAAAATGTTACCATCCGAGTCGCTACAAACCTTAAGAATAGCTTCCCCTAGGTTCATCGCTCTGGCATAAAATGTTCCATTTTCAGGTCCAGGGACAACATGAACGGCATCAAATCTGTTTAAAAGAAGAAATTTGAGTCAACATTCAGATTTCTATCTACTGTCCTTAAAATATTTCTTAAAACACTAGTTGGAAGATTACACGTCAACGTAATTGGGTTGAGTCACGATTGGTTTCGGATATTACAGTCAAGCTCGTATTAGGCGGACACCCCCGGGACCCTTGTTAGTGTCCGCTTCCTACAGGGTGTCCCTTGAAAACAGATTCCCTTAGAATTCGGCTAAAAGGGTCTTATTATCCAACTGCAGCGAATACCGTCCAAATAACAGTACAAATAGACAGCGACCATATTGTACAGTAGAAAACCTGTTTGCCGTACAGGTCGGCGCGCGCACGCAAAACTNATGAGCGAAATCGAATTTTCGACCCTTGCCGAGTTATTTTCCATTTTTATGGACAGGGACTCTTAATACACACCTAAATAAAAACGAGTACATATCTGTTTCCATATTGGCAGCGATTTAATTACCGGTACCTTGAAATAAATGCCTAGAATCGCTGCTCCATTTAGCTCCGCGAAAGTAGGCGGTACATACTCCCTCCCTCCTAGCCTGTGAACAGGCTCTGGCTGGAAGGGTCGAAAAGGAACTGGCTCAAACTGGAGGGGCCGAGGGGAGAACGGTATGGGGGTTGTGGCGTCTCCCTTCCTCTCTCTTGTATCCTTTTTATTCACGCTTTCTCTTCGCCCTATCCCCGACCAGAAAGCCTGTTCACAGGCTACCTCCCTCCCTCCCTACCCCCCCCACTCAAGAAGCTATACATCTGACAGTAACAAAGACTTGCCGCTCTTGAAGTTTGACAGTGTACCATCAGAGAGAAACGTAATGAAATCTTCACATACCTGTTTGTTTTGATTTTTGTGTTCACACTGTGAGGCAGAAGGAGAAACCCACTTGCAGGGAAGATTAGCTCAAGCCTTTCATACACCTAACAGCACACAACACACAAGAACAGCATTAGATCAACACCTTTACAGATGACCTAAAGTTTGCTCTTTTTCTTTTTATGGTAACTACTCAGAACGAGGAGGCACGTCCTTTAATTAACAATCCTTAAAATGTTGATACTAAAGATTCAGTAGAGGAGATCAGAAATTCCCAAACCTCTGAGATCTTTAATGGAGCATGAAAAAATACAGCTGTAATTTTACCGAGTCAAGGAGTGAGTGCTTTCAAATCAGGGCGCTTCAGGAGTTTTGCTTTGAAGTGAATGACCGGCTAGCCAGATGGCATGATAGGAGTACTTACCAATTTGCCACAAAATGGAGACATTTCACTTGAAACTCAAATGGAATACTATAGTACTTTTCCGGATAGATTCTCTTGTATTTTTGTTTGTTTACAGACGAGAGGGAAAGGATTATGGCTATGCATTCTTACCTCGAAAGTAACGTCATCTTGTAACAAGGCCTGCAGGTGAGCCTGTTGATACTGGTGGTCAGTGATCTCCACGCTGAGACGCACAGTAGTCTGTCCTGGATTCACACAATGTAGGTCTACACGGAAATCATTTTCACTTTCTACAGCCACTCCACTCTACAAACATAATACAATAATAAATTACTCATAACATGTAGGTCTACCCTGCTCAGGACTTAAAGATTAAGATGGAGTTAAAGACTTATCCCTTAAGTTAAAATTATGACGAATTAATGTGAGGGCTGGGATAATATTTCCGTTTGTTTTTTCATCTTGACTAGCTCTACTTCATATGAATCATCACGCTCTTCTTTTTCAAGGTGAAGTGAAGAGACTTCCAAAATAGTTCCAAAACTAGTTTGTCCAGGACTATAAAAATAACTGTTAACTAGATGTTCACTTTTGTTTTCAGGGAATGCGGTGATTCGACGTAAGCAGGTGTAATTCCGTTGATCCTTTTGTGTTTTCTTCTGAGAACTTAAAAATTACTTCTTGAACACTTGAGAGAAACTTAAAATCTCGCAACCTCATAATTTAAATTTTCCAAATTAAAATTTTCAATTGACCCAAAAACTATCCAAGGCGAACATCAAGTAAATTCCAGCTAAAGAAGCAAGTTAAAAACTGAATGCTTACATTCATCATTGGGAAACAGGCAAGTCTACTGACTGTTTAAAAGGTTACAATGCAAGTTCTAAGCCCGTCCACACTACACCGGAGAAATTTGACAACGCAACAATCACCGGTCATTTGGGATTGTTGTTTGACGAAATCTCGGTCAGGGAAATCACATGGATATCGTGACACCGACGTTTTAGAAAAGCTCCGTTTTCTAAATGTTTTCCGTCCACACTAAAATGCAAAGCCAGCGTTTTCAAATTCCTCCGGTTTGAAGAGCATTTTCGAAAAGTTCCGTTTTCGTGACGGATTCGTAGAAATAAAGCTCCGGCGTAGCGTGGACGGAGACCCAGATTAATGGTGTAAACTCACCAAAACATAAACAGACTTCACTTGACACACATCAAGATTGGTTGAACTCCAAAAGAACTTCAAACCGGGTATAGCATTGGCAAAGGTGAAAGGTGTTTCATCGTTCAAACCACTCGCATACATGCTTATCTGTTAGATTAATCAAAAAATGTACAAAAGAATTAAAATAAATATAAAAATTAAAAGCGTTTTCTGGTTTAAAATTGGTGAAAATATGAACGAAGGAATGAACTTTCGGCTACCAGACTGTATCCTCTGATGAAGACTGCCGTTAAATGTTGCAGTCTGGTAGCCGAAGGCTCATAACATTTTCGCACAATCTGAGCCATAGAGCATTGCCAAATTTTACACGTTTAACAACGGTTACTGGTTCATTGATTCTTAAAATTAAAGTAAGTGACACCTAAACATGAAAACTCTTATTTAATACAAGTGAACAGGTGTTCAAAGGACTGCATGGTTAAAAACGAAAATATGTTGGACCATCCTAATTTAACCTTACCGTTCTCAATGTTGCAAACGTTTTTGAAAGATAAGCCATGAAATATCGCATAAGTGACTTGATTTGCTACATGTACTCTATCGATAATAACGCCCATGTAATTGACAGGGGGATTTTCGCGTGAGGAAAATTTTGGAATCTTGGCATACAACTATCACTATTGAATCGGACAGTAACTCAAAAACATCACCTAGACAATATTCTATTCTTTTATGAACCCCATATTAGCATTTTATTTCCTCGCAAGCATCTTTGTGTTCTTATTGTAATTTTTCTTTCTACTTCACACTTTTTACCGCATACATTTCAACGATCACGCTTTTTATTCACTATTTGTCAAAGATTGCAGACTAGCAATCGAAAGCTCATAATTTTAAACTATTTTAACCAGAGAACGTTTTGTTTTTAATTCTTATGTTTGATTTTTAACTTCTACTCCTAACCTTATTACAAATGTGTTAGTTTATCATGTTTGGTTGGACTGATAATTACCACCATAAAATCTAAAGGCAAAAGCCAGTAATAACAAAACACTGATGTACATTTGTACAGTTCATTTGTACCTTTGTCCCAGTGACCAGATTAGTAGAGGCAACATTGATTTTGATCCCTCTGAGCTGCACAACATGTATTAAGATGACGTCCTATGTACAACAGTCATCAAAGCAAAATGTAAACACAAAAACAAAGCAGACGGAAATACAAAATTATCACAGTCAAAACGCAAGCTAACAGTTGACTCGCCTCAACAGAGGACGTAATGACGAAACGTCACTACAGTTAGCCTAAATAACGTTCCGGTCCGGTTAGCCACAATAACGCTCCGGTTACACATAATGTCACTGAGCTTGGCGATTTGCTCTCAATAATTGTATGGGTTAACCATATTCCACATTGCTAGGTGCCATTTCGTCATTCCGCCATTTTCTGTTTTAAACACGCCCCTCAACGGACAATAGCCTGTGGCGCGGTCCTCGCTACAGACGCTACTTTAAAATGTCTGTGAATGAAACAACCTTAGTTTTTGTATTGTTTGACTTCACACTTAAATGAAATCTGAATCCTGTTTGTTACCTGAATCAAACTATACAAAGCAGCATAATTCTGCACCCTAATGATCTACAGAAAACCCTTAGTCAAATTACTTTGAATAGCTTTTAAAAAAAACAACTTTCACTTACTTCACCACTGTTTTACCACTCCAAGAATGCAGAAATAAAATCAGAAATTTGGTGTTACAAACAATTTAGCCACCGAACCTTCTTTTTATTATAAGCACAAAACTTCAAAGATGAGCGGGGTTACCTTGGAATGCAGTACGGTCTGTCCCTTAACTGGATCAGACGCCTGTACTAGTCCAGTGAGGTTGGTTGTGCCGAGCTGCTGTGCCTCAACCAGTCCTACATTACTGACAGTGGCTACTGTATGGTTGGCGATATTGAAGATTGTTGCTGCCTGGGGGCTGGGCCCACCTGTACTTCGAACCTGCAACAAATAGCAATTCATTTTAACTATTTCTGTGAGGTAGTCGATGCCAGATACTACATCAGCGTCTGTGTTTAATTCCAGTTTCTGTTACTGTAGCATGAAGCAGCTTAGAGTATAGCTACACCCCCCCCNATGCTAGTCCATCGCAGGGTTACCCCCCTCCCCTCCACCTTCAACAGCCGTAGGTCAGGTTGCCCCAAAAATTCTCTGGCAGCCACATATTTACACTCCTGGTTAGGTAAGAATTGACAGCAATCATTGTCAAAGTGAAGTATCTGGCCTGTCTAGACTGTCTAACAGGCTCTAGTGTTTGGGTTTCATACTCAAGCCCTGCTATATGACCGCCTGCTGGCAGTGTATGAGGCGTCTCGCCGAAGAACCCAACAAAATAGACCGATTCGGCTAACGTGTTTACATCCGTGTTGCCACCCAGTTCAAGTCATGTGATGATTCATTTGGGAGGTTACAATTGTTGTTTGTAGAGATACTCCCATGAAATCAGTTGCGTGTAACAAATTGCACAATTGTAACCTCCCAAATAAAATAATAAACACGTGGTCTAAATTGGGTGGCAATGCGGATGGAAATACGTTAGCTCAAACTGCTTATGACCTCGGCCAGGGCTGGGACTCAAATCTCTTAATCTGGAGTCGAATACATTGACAATAGACCTTGTTAGCTTTGTAGTTTGTTGTCCCAATTTTGACCATGTGAAGTCGATCCTTCAGAGTTTGTTCATACTGTAACTTGCTATAAGAAGTTTTTAGATACAAGGTCATACAAACAAAATATGATAGAATATTATACCTGAAATGAGGCTCCTCGAATGAGCACAACCACTCTTGGATCTAGCCGCAAAGGTGCAAAAACCTGCCGCAGAAAAAGAAATTATCACAAATTACTGCCAGTTAGGTAAAAACGTGCATGGAACTCCTTTTTTTTCAAAAGAGCAATTGTTTATCACTGTCCAAGACTTGGGTGCAAATTCACACACAGTATACGCAAACTTTGAGGAAATATTTGGAAAACTAATACTTGTGCAGGCAGTGTGGTGAAGTGGTTTTGGGTACCGGACGTGAAATCTGAAAACTGAGGAGTTCATGTCCCGTTCTGACCACTAGCCAGTGTTGTTGTTGGTAGTCCCGAGTTCAATTTCTTGGCCACGCTTGTACATGTATATAGCCAACAGGCCTGCTTCTTTCCACTCATGAATTTTAACCACATAATGTTCATTTAGATTATTCAGATCATCTCCCAGGTAGGTTTCATAGAGAATTTAAGCAACACCAGGTACTACGGCTTAACCAATGAATGGAAATCCTTCAGTGGGTGGTTGTCCTGTGGCTTGAAAATCTGATGACGTACCTGGATGTCCTTAGGTTCACTTGTGGCACGCCCTTTTTCTTTGATTGATGCTGTAAATGTGAGGCTCGCTGTGCCAAGAGACAGGCCCTTGACATTAAAGAAGGCTGTGTCCTGGTTGACCTTAATCAGGTCTTCAATTTCAATGTTTGGTCTAAAAGAGAACACAAGTATAGCATCAGGTTGGTTTTTGAATGATAACAATAATATTATCATTTTATTATTATTATGAAACACTCTTGTTTTACTGATAAGAAAACAATCATGCCCATGGTTGTTCAAAGAATATGTTGTACACTGTAGTAATTAATTGAACTTGTAAGATAACAAGTGTAGCCCATTAAAACTGACTGTTTGGCCTTCTAAATTTTGTCAACAATGGTTAGTTTTGATCCCTCTACAGATAGTCTAATAAAGTCTGTCTGTGAGAAGTTGTTTCAAACATCTCTTAAGAGTTTTTCCTAGATGTAACTTGGTTCTTTCCATTACAGTTGAACGGCACACCAAGTCAGTGAAAAGATGAACTTCAAAAATTAAGGTACTGTCTGTGACAAAAGTGGGAGGGTGCAGTGGCCTCATGGATAGCACGCTCATTTCTGGATTGAGCGGTCTGGGTTTGAGCCCTGACCGAGGACATTGTTTTACGTTCTTGACCAGGACACTTCACTCACAGTGCCTCTCTCCACCCAGGTGTATAAATGGGTACTGGCAAATTTAATGCTGGGGGTAACCCTGCAATGGACTAGCATCACGAGTAGAAATATTCCTAGTTGCTTCATGCTACAGAAACCGGGATAAGCTCCGGCTCAATGGGCCACTTGGCTCTTATGCAGACATATAACGGTGACACAAGTCTATTAAGGGCTATTCAAAGATTGATCAACATCTAATAATTTCTCCTTAAAATACAATCACATCACCCAAAACAGGAAATACCTGATGTTTAAAATGTCAGGAGTAAAGTGCGGTGTTAATTTGAGGAGTTTGAGGCTTTTAAATAGCAGTGGTGAGCCAAACATATCCGAAAGCTGTAGTCGTAGAGTCTCTGATGAGAATATCTCAATCTGATGAATAAAAAAAAAAACAACAAAAGAACATGGTTCATTGCAGACAATGATTCTTTGACATGTCTATTGATTCTTTGCTTAGTTCTGAGAGGAGCTCGTTGACCATGATTTGACACGCAAGCCCTTATATTTTGCAGTTTACTAATCTTCAAATAGAAGATGAATGGATATTAGACATTATTTTATGACTGAGAACATTGCGACTGGCTGATAGCAGGCCAATTTGTCGGTAATTTTTAATTTGGCAGTCCAAATTAACTTGGGCACGTTCATCATTTTCTCAGTCATATAATAAAAGAGTAATCGTATGGCAAACAGTCATGTGTGGATACAACTTCACTTGCCCGGTACCTCCCCCCACCCCACCTATATGTATAATGTCACACACAAGTACCTGCAATTTCTCCTTAGTTTCAACGGTGTATTGGGACAGGAAAGGGAAGGAGCAACAAATTTTCAAAAGGAAAAAAGTGGTGGTTTTTCAAACTTCACTTGTAAAACACAGATAATTTGTTGCATTACTATTGTCTGTCATTGTAAATACATATACATGTACATGTATGGTGATGAGCAGCTGAATCCTAGCCCTCCACAGTAAACCATTCTCTTTTACTCTCTACATCTTCACATGTCACATACCTTGTTGACGACATCAACATGCACTCCATATATATCGGACACTTGTGCATTTACCACAGCTGGGCCTGTAGAGTCCAGGCAAACATCGTGCACTGTTACAGTGAATAACCCTTCAGACCTTGGAACGACCTTGACAAAAATGGATACATGTAGTTTAATGGTAAAAGATTATTAGAGTTGGGTTCCTAAATAAGAAATAAGAGGGAGGTTGGAGTAAATTTGAGTGGGGGTATGGGAGGCGCGGCGGCCTCATGGTTAGTGCGCTCAACTCTGGTTTGAGCGGTCCGGGTTTGAGCCCAGACAGAGTTGTTGTGTTCTTGGGCAAGACACTTTACTCTCACAGTGCCTCTCTCCACCCAGGAGTATAAATTGGTATCGGCAAATTTAATGCTGGGGTAAACCTGTGATGGACTAGCATCCCATCTAGGGATTAGTAGAATAGAGAGTTGAGTAGGGTAGAAATACTCCTACTGTTATAAACTGCTTGATGCTATGGAAAACCCCAGATAAGCACCGGCCTGATTGGCCACTTGGCTCATATGCAGACTTAACTCATAAGGGGGGTTGAGGAAGGGGCAGGGAAGGATACAGAGAAAAGTATCGAGAAATACAAGAAGATACATGGTGAACTACTGTATGAGTGAAATAGCTTGTTGAGGATTACATGGTGATCTGCTAGTGAAATAGCTGGTTGAGGATTACATGGTGAACTGCTAGTGAAATAGCTGGTTGAGGATGTCTGCATACTCACCACTAAGTCAGTCTTTCCTTGGTAACTGACTTCTGCAATGGCATCACTGCTTCCCTTGACAGCAAAATGACCTGAACCTCCGTCAATGTGGAAAACAACCTGCAACAAAAATGAAAAAGAGAATTACATACATGTATATATTCAAGAATTCTAAATAATAGGTGAAAAGTAAGGCTAACTGAAGTTTTGTACAGTGTAGCTGCTAAAATGCAAGAATCAGTTCATGATGTCATAAATCATCTACCTGGTTATCAGGGTGATTCAGTATTGAGGCCTCTGGTGGAATAAGTTTTCTCTCAGGCACTAACAGCAACTTCAGATGTCCATGGAGATTGAACTTTCTGGGTTCCTTATAAAGAATTATGATGCAAATTGATAATCAATATTAAAATTTGGTTAGCTGGCAAAGATTTCTCTTGGCAATAAGCTTCAGAAAATTTAACTTTATCTTTTAAACTTTTCCAGATCTGGAAAGCAAAATTTACAGAACTTTACAACTTTTAAGAATTGTAGTAACATACTATGTCTAAGGTGGGGATACATGCAGCCTCCTACACAGACAAGAGCCTTGAAGAATGTTTGTGAGGAAGGCTAGGGTACACATCACCTTTAGAGTCAAGTGAAAAGTGTTTGTCATTCAATGGTATCATAATTATATCACATTTAAGTCACCAACACCAGTTCTTTTCCGAACTACCCTCACTTACACCCGCCTTTCACTGTTAGGTTCATAGGGGACATCTTTCCAAACGCCATCTCTTGACATGCTATGTAACATGGCCTATTTTAAACAAAAATGTAAGCACAACAGACTTCTTTACGGTGAAACTTGAATTTTAGAGGTGAAAGATGGATTTATTTTACATCAAACCAAGATTAGCAGTAGCAAGAAGTCATTCAATGAGAGATAAATAGGCTGCTTTGGATGTTTACATCTTGCGCACATTAAAAGCAGTAGCGGGACAATTCTACCAGAGGTTGCTATTGAGAACGGATCAACTACATTCAAATTGTTTGAATTATCCAGTAAATTGGGAAACTTGCAAAGTCCACATTCTTCTTCAGCAATTTGAGGTCATTAATTATCATTTATTTGTCATTTCCTTCACTAATTGCAGTTAAACAGCCTGTTCAGCTGTTTACATAGCATGTCGGAAGACGGCATGTCGAAAGATGGCAAGTCAAAAGATGTCGCCTATGCACTGGACAAACTATTTTCCCAGACTCTCCACAAACCCCGTGAGAATGACAATGTTAAATTATAGTGGAAACCCACCTTACAACACCTTGTTAATGGGGTCACCTTGTTATAAATAATTATGGCCACTGTTTTTTTTTTTTTCGCCTAGCAAAATACCCCTGCACTTTCTTGTAAGAAAACCCATTAATGCGGCCACACTGTTAAACTTAATACGGCCAACAGCCACATTCTAAAATCCCAACCTGTATAATCCTTTATTAATTTATCCTATTAATAAAGACACTCAGGCCAGTTATGGTCATCTTTCCATGGTTAATATTGTATGCACTGATAGAAGGTTCTTTTTTTAATTATATCTGCATTCCAGATGCTCATTAAGAACAGTTGTTTAGAAGGCAGGCCGAAGTGGAGTTGTGATATTTCTGTCAAGATGCCACTTAAATTTGACATAAAAAGGCCACCCCGTTAATACCACCAAATTTTCATGGCCTATTAGAGACCCTATTAACAGGGTTCAACCGTAGTCAAGTTACAGCTAGCTGTACATGTACATCAGATTGCAACAATGAATGCAATGTAAGAATCCGATCCTCTTATAAAAAATAACAACATAGTCAAACCTCCAATTCCAGTCCACACCATCTGAAAATGTCACACTGGTATTGCTCAATTGATGCTTGGATGATCACACCACCCATCCTGTCACTCAGGCTCACAGTCTGATAAGCTGTCCAAACAAAGACCAAAAGAAAAAAAAAAGTAAAAAAAAACTTATAGCAAATGTAAGCAACCATAATTTACTAATTCTGACAAAAATGTATACTTACAAAATTAACCGGTAACTAAAATCCTTAAAACAATTTACTCCACTCTGAAGAATATACAGGCTGTAGGCCCAAAAAGGAAAACAATAAGGCTGCCGATACTACTGATAAACTGTGTTGAGAGAGATTCACCTCATTCAAATGTTTTTCAGTCTTGCAGTTGTTAATGCTGTTTAGAGCTACAATGAGCAACAAGTGTTGAGACCCTTTGAAATAACATTTGATTTTTGAGCGTCTTGGAATCACTCCCCCCTATCCCCAACAATGTTGATTTTTCATTTCTAAGACTGCACAGACCACAGCACCTACACAACATTGACTTGGCGACCAGGAGTATCAGAGAACTAATGCTAGGTGCAAATAAAATAGAATAAGACATTCAATATCCCAAACCATCAAAGCATCTAAAAGTGTCACAACTACTTTTGTCACTTATTGTAGCTTACTATTTAGATCTTTTTTGTCTGACAGGTTAATGAGGACAGAAAATAACTTAGAACAGATGGACACAGGGATTGCATATTGTAAGTAGTATAGTTTGAATCCTTAGTATTACAAGATAAAGACAGTTGAAAGGAAGCAAAATACATACATAATGCTCGTCTAAGGTTATCATCTTCCTTGTATTTAACAAACATCATCTTCACAGAGCTTGTCATATCAACAAATTCTGCCAGCTCACGATCACTGGTTGACCACATAACAGTCAGTGATGTAAAGTTATCAAATAATCGTCCAAGAGAATCACGCAGGTGAAGCACAAGGTTCAACTGCTGATTATTTCGAACATGGATCTAAACCCAACAACAAATCAATGAAAAAAAAAACAGATTTAAGCTCTGGAATGGTTTAAAGAAGTCACTCAAAAAAAACGTATTTTTTTATAAACAATAACTAAAACCTTGCACTAAGCTTAGCCTCTCATTGAAGTTTCAGCCTCTAAAGTGCAGGTTTTCCTTATGAAATTCGTCTCCAAAGCAGCCCAAAATTTAACATCATTGCCGCCATTTTGAACGGTACTCATCAGCCAGGCTGCATTTTTGTGACATCATTATGTCCAAGTGATTTTGTCCGTGGTTTTCGAAAACCCTTAACTGCCACTCTAGGTTATGTCTGCTCTTGAGCCTTATTATTTTGAGCTAAAGGTGCTCCAAACCCCAAAAATGATGTCAGTGAAGACAGTGAAGAGAGTGAAGTAGATAATCGCTTGGAGAAAATACATTTTGCTGACCTTGTGAAGGATGCCAAGTCAGTTGCAGGTTTTCCGCTTCTCGCCACAATTCAAGTTGGACAGAATGACGCCACATAAACAAAGCCTTGCTGCCAAGTGCAGTTTCAAAATGGTGGCCAACAAAGTCGAATTTTAGGCTTCTTTTGAGACTAATTTTTACAGGATAGCAGGCACTTTAGAGGCTGAAACTTTGATGAGTGGGAAACCCAGTGTTTACTTGCTATAGGTGGAGAGACAAAATAGCAAGCTCTTTTGGAGTGACCTTCTCCTTTAAGCAAAGTCTGTGTGAGCCCAGTAACAGGCATAAGGTCAGTGATTGTAGCCTAACATTGTATTGAGTACATGTATTTGAACATCAGGCCACTACACCAAGAAACCCATTAACAACACTCACTTTCACTCACACATGGCTTTTTCGCTGTATAGACATGCAAAGAAGTTTGTGTCTAATAGCCTGGCACTACATGTACAGTGTAGTGGATTTTGCTGTCCTGCTAGTTGATTCTGCCCTTTGCTTGTCTGATTTATTAATTAGTATTTAGCATGGACTGTTTATTAGTAGTTTATTATTACCTGATGATTTTTAACCGCGTATAAAGAAATGTTAAATAAATAAATAAATAAATAAACAGGCAAGTGTAGTTTATTGGGAAAAATCTTGTGAGGAAAGTCAAATCATAGAAGGACTGTAAATGATCTAACTATTTTATTAGTTTCATTTTAACTTAGTTAATTCACTAAAGTAAGAAGGGCTAACCTTTTGTGAACAAATTTCCACTACTACACTATTTTCACACCTTGCCTGAAGGGCAAACTCAAATATTGGTTTTATTGTATATATTTACCTCTTTGTTTGAGCTGACACAATTTTCAGGTGACAGTTGACGTCCATCCACTGTTGGAAGCTTAATATCAGGAACAATAGTCAATGATGCAGGATCCATGCATGCAAATCTAAAAAAAAAAAAAAACAAGGATTGGAAGCTACCTTTCATAATCAATTTATTACAAGAGTGACAAAGTGAAACTAACAGAGAGAGATCATTAACCCATTGACACCTATGGATTTTTGACAAAAATGCATTTTTTTGGACATTTTGGACATTTAGACATTTTTGGCATGGACATCAGCTAAATGAGCTCCAATCTAGCCAAAAAGGCATTTGCAAGGTGACAACATGCCTTTCTTTCTACTAGCATCAAGTTTTTTGACCTTTTTGCTTGGGCATGCATAGAAATGATGATCACAATCTATGTCACTGTCATAAAGTACTGTTGGCTTATTCAGAGTGTATAAATTATGTGTATTTATATTGTAGGTATATAATATGTTGAATTATTCTCACATTGTGATTTGTTCTCATTATTTTATGACCTATTGGAGCACAGAGGCACATGTATGGATGATGTCTGTGACATTTTTTGTTTCTATATAATTATAATTCAAGAAGATTCCATGTTGCTATGCACAATCTATTCAGTAATACAATGAATATCACAGATGGAATCAGAATTAATTTTAATAAGAACAAAAACGTAGCAAACGAGCCATTAGGCGAATGTGTCACTGATGTTCTTGCACATTTTGATGCCATCTGTGATCTAAAGTACAGTGTGTATCACAACATGGAATCTATTCATTAAGTAGTGTGCGGAGAGGCTGCACATTGATTATTTTAGCTCACCTGATTGATACAGAGGAACTTGCAGGGTATGGATTCTTTTGTGATGGTTTGTTTCCAACCTTGACATTCAGGACCTTAACAAAAAAAAGTTAATGAAATGTAAAACACGAGTTTATTCATTTTTGCTCTTCCAACATAAATCCCTCACCAAATGACAATTAAATAATCTATTAACAGGGCTTGGCTAAATCTTTGTACATCTGTCCATGAACCATAATTTAAACAATCTATGGTTTAAAGCTTCAGAAAATTGATATCAATCAAGAATCACAAAAGAGTATTTTTTGCATGCTCAAAAAACTGCGATGACCAGATGTCTTGATTCTTGGCGGGAAAAATGAGGAAGATGGGCTCTGGCAAAAAGAACATTCCTTGTTGTGAAGCCACTGTATGTTGTCATTAAACCATGCAGGTCTTTTTGGCGTAAGGCTAATCTTCTCACCTGTTCACCATGTTTTCGACAAATGACACTGAAATAGTGAAAAGACCCACTGTGGTCCACTGCAAGAAAACAGGCAGTGCTCTCAGCACAAACAGTTTTCATATGGCAAAATAATTCACTTAACAATTGTTTACTGTACTGTACAATATTACTTACTAGCCACATGTAACTGAACACAAAATATATATTACTCCAACTTGTCAAACCTGAATACTGGTAAAGGAAAAATTACAGAATGTAATGTTACAACTTACATGATTGTAAATCCCAGCAATTTGACCAGAAGATCACACAAGACAAGACTTTCGTTTATTATAAAATTATAATATTATAATCAAAAATGTCTGAGGTTATCTTTATCAAGGATGTTCCTTATAAGTACCACAAAAAAGTATACTATGTGAAGCATTACTGGTTAACCATATATAACAGTAAGAATTCTTAAGAGGCACTCTGTGCTACGTATGGACAGCATAGCTTCAAAGACAACACTCAAATTGTGGTACATACTATAGGAAAAGAAATCAATGTGTACATTTTTTTTTGAATTCATAATATTTCACTTACCAGGGTAATCTGCAGTATGATGATAATCAATGGAAACATCATCAGCTCTCAATGGATCTGGAATTACTGTCAAACAATGGACAAATTGAAGGTTAGTTTAACGTTACAGTATACCTTCAGGGGTGTCTCGCGCGCAAGCGATGTAGCGCGTGCAGTTTAAGCTGTAGATAACTAAACCCCTATATCAAATTAAAGCCTATGGAGCTGGCTATCAAACTATACCAACAATTTTGAAAGAAAATGAATTGTCGAATTTTTCACGACCACTAAATGCGAGCGCCCGAATCACCTTTCGA